GTGTGTCAATGATTTATGAAGAATTTTAACAGGGCAAAGATATGTTATAATCCTGTATATGAGTTCTTGAAGTAAATCCTACTGAATTCAGTCAAACCTTACCTAGAGCAATCAATCAAATTATACATGAACTCAGCCCTTGATTTGTTCCCACTGTAATTCAATAATTATGTGAAATAGCTTATTTTTCATTATTTTATTATTAATTTTTCATCAAGAAATAAAATGCAGATGCTTTATGACGGGCTGAGGAAAATCAGCCTATGATATGGAAATCTATTGTATGTTAAATTCTACTTTCCCTTCCTTTGAGATTTCTCTTTGGATCAAGACTTTTCAAACTGCAATTTTTTCCCTATCCATGTCTTTTCTACAAAGACTCAGCAACCCCAAAGTATGGTTGAACCATGAATTTAACCTTCATATCCCCTGGATTTGGAACTTTGCATCCATTTTATTCAAGTATCCAGCATACATGAACACTTCTTGTATCAGTTATTTCCCAGCTGCTCCTGAGCAAGCAAAAATCTGTTGATAATTGTTGTCCTTGAAATTAACATAACAAAGACTGACTCCTTTGAAATTTTGCTACATGGATCTTCAGATTGAGCATTTCAAAGTTCCCAATCACTGTCACTTTATTATTTTAATATCCTTTTCTAAGTAAAAAAAAATCCTTAATACCACTGAATGGACCTTTTGTTTTTATAGTTTATTTATTTATCGTATTTATATGGCTGCCCATCTCTCAAAGGTTAACCACTATTGTTAACTAGATCAAGATTTACTTCCCAGAGTTAGCAGTTACCTATAAAAGTGTTGCAGATGCTACCACTACAATTATACCAGAACCAGGAAGTCAGTCTTCTCAACTCAATTTAGGTGAGATGGGCAATACAGAAATGGAATGAATGAATGAATGAATGAATGAATGAACTGAATTATCCTTTTGATATATTAGACTAGCTGCTTTAAACCCATCTGCTTGGGGATTATTAGAGTTGTGGGATCCTTGGTGTTCTCTGATCTTGTTTTCTTGCATAAGTTTCATTACCCAACTATGTAATTAGAGTTGAAGTTCAGTGCATTTAAGGGGCAACAGGAAGTGAAAGGATGCTCTAAATCAGGGGTGTCAAACTGCCGGCCCAAGGGCCAGATGCATCATGCCAAAACTGTGCCCACCCCATTGCCAGCAACGTCGAGACACGTCACGTGGCGTTGCAAGTTTGACATCCCTGCTTTAAATAGTAAGAAAAGCAATTTCAGGCTCTTCCAAAACTGCCAATTGCTCATCACAGTTTGCACTTTCTTTCATAATTATCAGAGCCCACCGATTATGTACAGGCAAGATTAAAAAACAAACAAACCAGGAGCTAAAATCCAATTAAAGCCAGGGAGGCAGATTCTTTCTAATCTATACAGTTTCATATGAGTTAATTCATCAGGCTGTGTGAAATCCCATGTCTACATTAGTTTTAAATATACAGCACATGAATAACTGAAGAAAACTAGGAAAATCAAATCTTCACCAGGGCAACGTATTGAACTAGGCAGCACATAGATGAATAACTATTTAATTTCTTCACATTTCCTTATCACTAAGAGACCTATATATCCCCAACCAACTGTCTAGCAGAGTGTGCATTTATGTTAATTTTTACCTCAAAATTTGCAATATTCCAAGGAGCGTAAAATTGAAGGATGACAGACTATGCTCTGCAGAGCATATTAGTCAAGAGGTAGGAACAGCTACATTCAAATTCATATTGAAAACTTTTAACGGGCAAGTCGTTCACAGATCTGTTTTCCTTGTTTTTCGGATTTGTGTTCTAGGAAGCAAAATTTTAGGCCTGAACAATATCAATCCAGGCCCAGTTCTAAAGAAAATGCCTATCTGCATTTTGGGGTGTGTTCTGAATGACACATTTTCTGTCTCAAATCATTCTCTTTCCCCAAGCTCTTGTTTTACCATCCAGAGTATCTGATGGGAAGAATTTTGAGCAGGCAGGCAGTTAATAGAAAAAGTAGTTAACCTGTACAGACTGTGCCTCTAACATTCCTCTGATCCAAAACAAAGCCATATTTTATGCTAAAATAAAGCATATTGTCAAGGTATTGTTATGACATACCTGTAGGTACTGTTTCTATTTCACTCCTTGGTGGTCTGTCTTATTGTGAACTAACTAGGCAAGCCAGAAGGGATTGTTTTGGGCTCTGGAGCTAGGTGTCTTTGATGTCTCCATTTGAACAGGACATGCATCCTTTCCATGGTTAATATGTCATGCTTCAACTGATGGGTCACTCTGACCCCAATGGAGATACTGCTGCCTTTTAGGGTGAGGCTCATTTTGCATGCAATTTTGATTTTGTTATTTAAACACTACTAAAACTTCAACACTACTATATACACAATCAATACTGCTTGTAATGCCTTGTTTATTTTATCACTGGAATACATGCAGACTTCAAAAGAAATCAGTCCAATGGCAATAAGAACCAGCTTCATGTCAACACTGGAGTCTATTTATTAAATAGAAATCAGCATATGTTATTAGAATAGGAACACAGAAGTAACAAAGAGATAATAATGCAACCAGGAGAAAAGATTCAAAGCTGCCTGTAATATGTATTGTTTTTTTCTTTTCAGGCAACCAATTCTTGTAATTTGGGAAAACTGGCAGCTAATCAAGCCATCTTGATCTAATCATTTCCTTCATCTCTTATAGGACCAGATATTGATATGTATATAATGACAGTACAAAACCTATTGCCAGCGTGAAATAAACTGGAGGTCTTTGCAGTGAATTTGGCATGAGAAATACTTTTTACAGATGAAATTTCAAAGCATACCCTTCTTCACAACAGTTCATTATGTACTCAAAACAATGCTAAATGCCCTTTCAATTAAAAAAACTGGACTTTCTCATAAGGCAGTCACCATCTCTACAAGGAACCCTTCAGTTGTCCTCCATCACCATTAATCATTTGCTTGTCTATCACAGTGCCTTAATGCACCCTCCACCATCGTGCTGTCTTCCAGATGAGCTGGACTAGAGTTCTCAATTAACACATCAGGAGGCCACCAGGCTGGGAAAAGGTGACTGAATAGTCACCAGATTGTTCTGGGGCGCATGCTTAATAGGCCAGTTTTTGTACCACTTTGTAGGCGAAGTTGCAGAAGTCAATATTCTCAAAGCAAATGTTGCTAGAAACAATTTCACTTCTGGTTGCTCAACAGAGAAGCAATCGGATACATGCTCACCACTGAGTATAAATAGATCCTTTGCCAATTTTATTCTGAAGTCTTTGCAAGATCTTACATGACTAACTGCCTCTCTGGCCCAAAATATTGTTCTTCATATACTCATACAGTTCAGGTCATCGTTTTAGGTATCTGGGTGGCGAGATGAAAAAGGCAGCAGTCTCTGCTGTAAAAGAAGCAATTCTAAAACCCTGGCTAATTTGTCCATCTGGGTGCAGCTATCCTATGATGCACAGAAATCTTATAGCAGGAAAAGGTGTGTTATTACTTGTTTTCCTGATTGTATACTTTCAATAGCATATTTCCTAAATACATCCTTCAAGAGAAGAGGTTCTATCTGCTGTATGAGTGTATACAATCTTTATCCCTCAGGTGGTACTATAAATGATTAGGATAGTAGCCAGGGGATAGTGAACAACAAAGCAGTGTGGGTCAAGAAAATAGTGTTTTGATATGCAACACTATCAAACAATCCCAAGTCAATAACTTCCAGTAACACCCCAAAGAATGCTTGCTCTGTTGCTCATAAACACAACATATTAGTGAAGTCAAGCTATTAATTTCAAGGCAAACTGAAGAAAACATTGCTTCCCCAAGAATAGAAATGGTAGGGTCCAATTCAGCGATTACAGGCAACTCTGTCAGATGTGGCTTCAAATTGCATTCAGAACATAATTCTAACAACCCCACCAATGATCAGTTGATAAACTCTAGCCACTGTGTCATGTTCTGGCTTCCTCCTCTTGTGATGGTAGAGTTGAAAATCTGGTAAAGTCCACACAGATCCAGGATGCAGGTGCAATCATAAGGAGACAAAAGGAAGCCACAATGTATGTAAAAATCTGCTGCCAACCAGGAATACATACCCAATGGAACCAATGGAACACTTTCTCAGTAGTAGAAACTGAATTGATCTGCTAATTCCCCAAGCAGAAGACTCTGGTTGTAGAGGCTTTGTGAATTCATGGATTACAAACAAAATCTGATTTTCATTGTCATTATTCATGGATGGAAGCTGAATAGCAGGTGCCTTCCACAATGAGTAACCACCAACTAGACCACTCGGTCTGAAAGTAGGAGGGAATGGCTACCAAGGGAAAGTATGTCTTCTAGAAAGCCTGTATCAGTTGTTCTCATCTCAGAAGTCTCAAAGTATTATCCAAAAGGAAAAGCTAGTCCTTTCTTTAACCAGAGAAAATGAGAAGCATTTTTATTAACACCCAACAGATCATCTAGATCAGGGGTCTTGAACCTTGGCCCTTTTATGACTTGTGGACTTCAACTCCCAGAATTTCTCAGCCAGCAAAGTCCACAAGTCATAAAAGTTGAAGTCCACAAGTCATAAAAGGGCCAAGGTTCAAGACCCCTGATCTAGATCTTTGATTTAAAAATTCATCATCAGCTTTTATTTTACCCTAATATACAATAAAAAGAGAGATCCTCATCAATGCTGTAGCATCAAAACTGAAGTCTCACCAGTTAAATCCAAATAGCCCCCACTTTTTAAAAAAATGCAGAATGTGTGTAACTTCTAATAACTTGCTAGAAAATTCAATCTCTGAGGTCAATCTTTGGATGTGAATAAAATGGGAGGGGGGGGAGAGAAGCTTGAGTTTAGAAAATACTTAGCCAGATGCAAGCCTCTAAATGAGAACGAGGAGTACACACAGAAATGTGGGCTAAGGAAGATTATGGCAATGGATTCATGACTAGTATGTTGAAGTTGGAGAAGCCTTGGGAGAAATGATTTCAGGTGGAAAGAGCTTGTTCTAGAATGTCCATGGCATAAAAAAGAAGTTTATTAGTCATGAGTGGCTATCCATTAGGTCATTTCCCCATCCTTCCATCACAACTGGGGTTTTGATCAGGAGTGGCTTTAATATCAGCCTGCCGAGTTTGTCAAAGGGTCCGTGGATCCCTCAAAGGAAAACCCTGAGCTACAATCAGAATCGAAAGCAAAACCTTTCCCAGTTATCTCTTTCAAGCTCCTCAGAAATACTGGAGGAATCTGCACCTTGCAGCTCTCAAGGAAGGCTGTTTTCAACAGGGGCATGCCTTTGGAAAGCAGGAGCAGCAGTTTATCTGTCTATCCATTATGCAGCAATGACCAACAGCATTTAGATTTCAGAGTGGCAAGCAGGTAATGAGCCCAAGGTGCAGCCGAGACCTCAGGAATATTTTTTATATATTTATATATGTGTGTGTATATATAGTGGCTTTTAAGTAGAATATTATATACTGGCTGAGGAGAAATGCATAGAAAAAAAGCAGGAGTCCCAACATGGCCTCACTCCATAGTGCCAGAGAGCTCATATTCACTCGGTAAAAATGCCCGGAGTAGGTGCTCTCAGGAAACTGAGACTGCCACTCAACAAGGAAAGCCTGTGCTTCTTACATTTTCAATTAATATTGCGCCATCTTGAGTATGAGCAGACATTCTGTCATCGATTTTCTGGGTGTCCAGAGAATAACTGAAGGCAAAAATCCTTCCTGATCATCATCTTCCATTTACATCTCGCTGAGATAGAAGCCCAATTTAGCAATGGACATTTCCTTCCGAAGCCTCATAACTTCCCAATACATCAATTCCACTGTGGGTCAAAGGAAGACATTAAACAGAGAAGCAAGTGAGAGATCGTTGTAGCAGAAGGCAAACCTGTTTGCTCTATGCTAGCTTCCCCAATGTACTGCTCTCCTGATCTTGGGACTTCAACACTCATCAGCATAGCCAGCATGGCCAAATGATCAGGAGTCATGAGCATCATTTGAGGAACCTCTCCTTTCCCTTCGGAAAAGCCACTTCATATTTTATATGAAGGTAGAGGAATTGATGTGTAGCATCTGTGTTCCACTGACACAAAAGCAAGATCCTTGCCCTACAATAATGGCTACTTCTCTATGGACCAAAAGGTGGGGAGTGGGGTGTTACCATTGTCCTTTGCTTAACAGTATAATATCTTCTTTTTCCACCACCATCAGCCCTCCACTTTCTCAAATTACATTTTGACTCTGGACTCAGATTTCTTTTATCCAAGCACTGTCTTAGTTGTGGCTCTTCCTCCTGTTCACAAGGTTATTCCTTCTGCCCATGACAACCACATATTTATCCCTCACTGAATGGAAGGCATCTGTATGTTGAAATCCTACCCATTTTTAATTAATATGCTGTCCTAAAAATAGTCCAAATTCTGCAAAGATCAAATCCCAACTTGAACCTTAACATCACATATACCTTCCTGAACTTATTTCTGGAATTTTGTGTTTGATTTTATGCACATGAATTTTTGAATCCATTACACATTACTGTAGATTACTTAGATTAGTTCAAGTACTCTAGATGAACACATTATTTCAGCTAGATTACCTTTCTTTTCTATCTGCTTTGGGTAACACTTACAAGGGGGAAAAATAATTCTCTCTGGAATGTTCCCTTATAAAACTCCAAAATGCTTGGAGTGATTTGGTGGTCCCGCTTACAATCACGTAAGTTGGTTGGGCACTTTTTGAATTAGCTACAAAGGGAAGAGCCCAAGAAAGAGGAGAATTCTTACCATCTTGTCTCACCAGTCCCTGCTGGATGTACCGAATATAAGTGAAGAAGTTGCATACGGCTGTAATCTGAACAAGAGAAAAAACATTACACCTGTTTACAAGCACATTTAGAAATATTTACAGAAAACATCTGTGAATAGTACAGACAATAGTAAACTCTTCGGTCTTTAAGATGATAGATTACTCTGTTGGCGTCAGATGCAAGGCACATAAAAAAGGCATGGACCAAGGCAAAACAAATGCAAGCAAGCTGAACACAATTCTTCTGCACGTATTCACATTTATAGTGTCCATCTGAAGATTAGATTATTTTTTGCTAAGCGCATTACTAATAAGAACTTACCCTGGCCCTGCAAGAAGGGGAAATGTAGTAATAATTCCCAGAATCCCCCAGTTTGATGCGATGCTTGCAGGCTCGGGACAGGCCACTCAGAGCGCATTTCCTGTAAAAAGGAAGATGGGAGTGGAAAAAGTCAAGCAGGATGTCATCTAGAGGCCTTGACTAAAGGGAACAAAACATGATGCTGGTCACCACGATGCAAACCCAAGCAAAGACCTCCATTTTTACATCCTATAATTAAAGGATTTCATAGTATGTTGTCATCTTTTTGAGTTATTCTCTGTACTATGAATTTATCCTAAAAGATGTTAAGGCTATAAAGCTAAGCATACTTATTAACAAAGAAGTTCAACTCAACTCAATTCAGTACAATTTACACCTTAGAAGTGGATAGTAAACTTGCCACCTTCATATTAGGGACTGTTATACCCTGGGAGGAGATCTTCCTATTCTGTCAGCTAAAACTGTGAACAATCTAAACCACTGTTTTTAACTCCCAGAATTCCCCAGCATGCTTGTCTTTCTACAGCCCTCCCACTTCTTGTTTTTGATCTTGGGGGTTAATTAGTATTTCTGTTCAATCAAACTTTGTTGATTCAAACTTTTCTATTTGCAGCTTGTTTGAAAAGTGCTTTTGGGTTATTCAGTCTCAAAACATGTTGCTGCTATAGAGGCTGCAGAAAGTTTGGAATTTGACCTTACTAGAAATAAAATATTAAGAAATGAAAGAATCATAAAGATGCATTTACAAATATTCTGCCTCCATTCTGTTACCTCTTCCACAGTAAATCAACTCAATTATCATTACAAAGATTAGCATTTTAGAATATTAGAATTTTTTGCATCTTGTCTTTCTTCCTTCTGTAGTTTTATAAGTAATTTAATTTAAAAGAGAAAAGAAAAGAAACTATTACTATTAAGCCTCCTGTAGGCAATTCAACATTTCTTGCATTAAAATTTGACATTTGAAAAATCTAGCCAAGGATTTGGGAGGTAACCAGCAACACAGAAAACCAAATAAAGTTAATATTACAGGAGAAAGTTGACAGTTAGTAGACAAAAATATCCCTCTGAGCTTATATACCCAGCAATGCGGAAATAAAGATGAACCATTTCAAAGACAGTTGTAATTGAAGATTATATGGTATGCTGTCAGCATCCTGGATGCTCACCATTTATTTGATAGCATCAATTGCAAAGCTGTTAGTAACAACTTGAGTTAGTAGCTTATTAATAATGGAGTAAATACCTTTTCACTGGCTTAAAAAAAATAACTTACGTTATAATTTGGGACCGGAACCCACTGTGAGAAGAAATAAGAAGTTGAAACTAGTATTAGGCTAGCAATGGCAACATTCATTCTTCTTGGATTAATGGCGGTGTGCGTGTAGAAAGCACAGCTCAAACTGAGGGAAGATTAACATCTAAATTATTAAGCTACAATCCTATACCTACCAAGAAACCTACAAGAAGAAACTCAGAGTAGCAGAATTCTGGACTGCACTACTCCTGAAGTTTAAGTGCAGCAGAGAGAATATCTCTGTCAAGGATACGTTACTTCTAGCCCAGCAGACTGGTCCATACCATTTGGATCTAAAGTAACCAAGTGCCCCTTCTTGTGGGCCACCTTTCACTGATGCCAATGGTGGAGGCATTGCACACCAGATGCACCACTCTAGCAGCCATCCAGTCTGATGGGAGAAAGCAATTGGGTAACTCCAGGCAGTTTAAATCCCTTGCCCAGAGTTGAGTGTAAATAATAGACATAGACATCAAATTTTCTCTCTCTGTCTCTCTCTCTCTCTGCCCCCCCCCCACCACCCAAATCACTTTGTAAGATAAAGTGGGAAGCAATGTTTCATGTTCATCCTGCATAATTTTCCCTTCTGGGCAGGAGGAATGATGCAGAAGCAGTGATCTCCTATCTCCTGTTCACAAAGGATAGGGCATTTATTGAAACTTTGTCTCCTAATGTCACATGGCTCTTAAGAAAAAGTGAGAGGCAGCTGGGTATGGCTGCAGTCCAGATGATGTTCTCCATCCTTGATATTTATTTACTTAAATGTTTATGGCTGCCATTTCTAGTAAGCAGCTTTGGGCAATGAACACAATTCAAAACATCAATATAATAATACAAAAAGAAAGAAAAAATGAGAATATGTAAGAAGAATAAAGCAAAAAAAAAAGTGGTGGCTGAGGATAACCATCAGCAATAATTAATCATATCTCTCAGGCTCAATGTCAGATTCCCATGCCTGGAAGATAAGCATCACTTCAGTCAAGTTCTTACTTTGCCCAGAATAAAACAATTTTCACCTAGTCCCCAAATTTTTGCCCATGAAGAAAAAAGATGACCTCAGAAAATGTATTATCCCTGGCAAAGTTTTCCAAAAGTAGAGTTCAAAAGCCCTGCTTTTTATCATGTTGTTATTCATTCATTCATTCATTCATTTTTTTCAATTTATATGGCAGCCCATCTCAAGTTCATGAATCTGGCTCGTTAACTGCAGGAGAAGGAGTGGCAGAACCTGGGGATGGAGTTAAAAGAGGGATCAGCTTAGAATCCCTAAGTAGCCACAAGCGGATCAAGTCCGCTCTCCCTTGAATGTTGTGGACCCTTATTTAACTCAAAGCAGGTACTAACCATTAATTGAAAAGATTCCTGTGCATAGACTATTTAGCAATAAATCAGTTTAATTGGACTTTCACATAGTCTTTCATGCTTGACATTAATAGTGATAAAAATATAAAAACATTAAACAGTAGAAAACAAAACAAAACAACATTAGCATAAAACAGCAACACCAATCCCAATTACGAGCTTTGGTCCACCACCTTATGTAAATTCAGAAAAGTAATTCCAGCAATTAGAGTCTTTCTGATAGATACCAGCACCAAGACTCTAAAATTCTTTTTTCATGGGCACACAACAAAACCTAAATTGTGTTTACCTGCTTTATTAACTTACTGTCAGAAACAGAGGAAGAAAGTTCCAGCACGTATGTGCACACAGAAAAAGAACTGTAATAGTACAGTACAGAATAGTACAGCAATTCACTAACAATTCAAATATTTGTACAAATCTTTTTTCAAACATACCAGATTATACACAGTTATGGAAAGAAGGGTGATAGAACAGCGAATGAAAACCGCTGGAGTCCAAGAAAAGAATAATCAAAACACAGCTAAGGAAAAAGTCTTCTTACACACTACAACAAGATATTTGTATCTGCAAAATGAAGTCCCTTACTAAACTTTGGCCCAGAGGACAATCCTTCTGATATATGTGCAAATCAAGCATACTGAAAAGGAAGCCAGTTTATATCACTCTATGGGGTCCTTGGTGCTCTCTGAGTTTGGTTGTTTCTTGCAGACATTTCATTGCCCAACTAGGTAACATAATCAGTGCTGACAATGTTACTTAGTAGGGCAATGAAATGTCTGCAAGAAAATAAAGAAGCTCAGAGAGCACCAAGGACCGCACAATTCAACCCTGAGCTACAAATATTTGAATTGCCACAACCTTCTCCAGTTTTGCTAGCTTCCTCAACGATGGTATCACACCTTGTAGTGCTTTCTAGCTCAATTTCGGTCCATTAGAACTGCTGGTTGTTGTATAATATTTATACTTTTGTATATTCATGTAATCCGATTCTCCTATTACTGATCCCTTCCCTCCTTTGCTTTCTCTTCTGGTTTTTGTGGGCCAAGCAGTACAAATTGAAAGGAAGAATACACAGTGGTTCAATAAAACAAATTCTGTGAACAACCAAATAGAAGACCTTGTTTCAGAAAGGCAACTGGTAATGCCGCATGTTAGAGACTAATGGTGCATCTGTGTAAGAAGAGGAGGAGAGAAAAAAAGGCAGCTGAACAGTTGTTATAATCTTACTTTGGTCCACCGCATTCAATGGCTGACACCTTCACTACAGGCAACGCCTGGATAGCCACTGGCTCAATGGTAAGGGTGTTCTGCTCCACAGCTGCCTGAATCAGCTCTGAAAGCTGCAACAAAGAAAACAAACACAAGGAATTCATGTCAACAAGGAAGGAGCACCTTCATCTTTTAGAAATCTCTGAATAACTCATCTTTAAACTGACTTCGTGCTTGGTAAAGTCCAGGCAAGGGCCTACATCTTCATGATAAATCCTCTTGAGAAAAGGACATGATTTATCCAATGTTGGAGACTCCTTCCAAGTCTGAAATTCTGCAAACAAGATGGAATCCACCTGCAGTGACAGAAAACCACAAAATAGATGTCTGCTGAGGAAAACTAGGGAGAGAAAAACACATGCATACCAATACACAGACACGAAGAAGGAAGTAGATATTCCTTTACAAAAAACAGAATGTTCTTCCTATTCATTAGGCAGATGATGAGGCAAAGAAGCAGAATAAATGTGACTTATGCGCCAGCGATAGGCAGTTCTGCCTCTTGCTGTGGCTACTGCAGAAAGGGGCATGACAGAGAGCATCATCAGGAGACAGTGTATCAGTAGATTACAGTAGTACCCCAATAATGTAACCAAAGGGAACATCATTTATTAGTCTATAACATTTTCAACATACTGGGGCTCACATGCCATATCAGGGGTGAAGATCTGTTCCCTCTTCACAGTCTCGCATGGACTGTGATCTGCATTCATAATCAAGCAGTATGTCAAGCAAAGAGAAGGTGGGGTCACAGCAAAATCTCCTGCTCCTCTTTATGACAAATCAAATCTCCTGCTCCTCTTTATGACAAATCAGTTGTTTCCAACAGGTCCAGAAGAAGGGCGGGAAATCCTTAGACTGCTCAATTGTACATTCTCCTAGAACTTTATTACTATTGACAATATGAATGTTAAGCTCTTCCAAACAAGTTATATGTATTTTAAATCACACATTTTTGTACCACTGAATAGGAAGATAACCATATGGATGGCCTTCCCATGAAAAGAAGGGGAAGACAATCCAATACGAAGCTTAGTTGCCCCCCCCTTCACCAAAAGGAATTCACTTCCAGTCCCAGCAAGCAAGCATCCCTTCACCAAAGTTGAAAAAAATGAGGCTTTTCCAAAAGACTGCATGGCTACTTGGTTGTGTCGAATAAGGGCCCAATTCCAAAACAACTGAAGCATTCTCTGTTCTGAAGATTCTGTGGCTGTTACAAAATAAAACATGCTAGGTAGCAAAGGCAGGATGCAAGAAATCCTTTTTTCTGGCCATGTATCCATATGGCAGGGGAAAGACTCACAAGATCAGTTGCAGTGGCACTAAATTTATCTGACAAATAAGTAATCCAAGATGTAAATAAATAAATATTTAATCAAGCAAATAAAGATGATCAGGCACCCAGGCAAGCAGAGAAGACATTGCTGCTTGATTTTTGTAGCTACCCCTTAAGAACAAAAAAAAATTAAAACATTCTGTAATGAATCAAGTCTTAAATGCTGATTACTCCCACAAAGATCTAATTTAGGGGTAGTCAACCTTGGCTCTTTTATGACTCGTGGACTTCAGTTCCCAGAATTCCTGAGCCAGCTTAGCTGGCTCAGGAATTCTGGGAGTTGAAGTCCACGAGTCATAAAAGAGCCAAGGTTGACTACCCCTGATCTAATTGGTGCTTTTGGGAAACCCAAGACAAATAGGACATGACTGCACAGCCCCTTTCCAATTTTGCTTTTAGCAATTATAAACATTTGGGATTTATGATTCCAAAACTGGACACAGTTTACAGCAATCATGACTGGTAGCCACTGACCATCCAGTCTTCCCTAAACCTGTGCGTTCTTTTTTCCAAAAGTAAACCAGTTAGAAGCTCATATTTGATTTGTGGGAAAGATCTGTTCTTGGCTTTTCGGTTTCTCAACCTGGCCCACAGAACTACCACAGCCATAGACAAGACCTTTGTTTTAAATCAGAGGTGTGGAACTATGACCTTTTTATGACTTGTGGACTTCAACTCCCAGAATTCCTGAGCCAGTCACACTGGTTCAGGAATTCTGGGAGTTGAAGTCCACAAGTCATAAAGGGGCCATAGTTCCCAACCTCTGTTTTAAATAAAGGCAATTCTCAAAATCCTCAAAATTTGGTACCTCCATGTTTCCTCTTTAAATAAAGGCAATCCTTTTTAAATAAAAGATATCCTCACAAGACGTGAGTACCTTCAGGTTTTCAGGAAGCTGCCAACCTCTCCCAGCATGTCCTGTTCCAAACGCTGGAGAGGGTTAGAAAGTTCCAGAATAGACGGCATAACCATGATAATCAGAAATAACTGAATTCTGACATCCTAGCTGCATTTTTTTTTTAAAAAAAGGTTATAAAAGGTTCCAATAACTAAGCTACAGAGACTGCTCACCTGAGACCAGGAAACCACTTCAGAGCACCCGTATGGGAGAAGGGGAAAAACATTTAGAGAGAAAAAACACACACAAATGACTGTTAGTATTAAAGAAAAAAACTGAACAGGGGGAAGTATTAAAAGTGCATCCAAAAAGTCTTGTCAGTCTTGTCCCCAGAACTGATCCTTCCTCAAAATCAGTGAAACCAGTTTCTACAGCCAGATTGATTGGGATTGCCTTGATGTTGCAGTCCCATTCTTTCTGGCAACAACTGCTATGGATAGTGAATCTAGTCAACATGAAAAAGAGGACACGGCTCTTTACTATCTGTACAGAAGACGAACAGCTTCCCTCAGACTTTATGACCACCTTCACTAGCAAAGCAATCTTGTTGGCACTGTAGCGACCAAATATCTGAGCCTATCTTCCTAGTTGTAGAGCTACTCTACTTCACCCCACCCTAAGAGAGATTACCTGCCGCGAGAGAGGAGAGGAGAAAGGAGAGTCTGCTGCCAGGAACCGCCAGCCTGGCTCATAGGTGATGTGGATCGCCTTCGCAGGGACGATACAGAGCAGCAGGGAGAGGAGAGTGGGTACCCCAGACTTTAAGGAATGGGAGAGCAAGACAGAGAGGCAACAAGGGCAGAGAGAAGGGGGAAAGAGGAGAAAGACAAGGAGAGAAAGGAAAATGGTGTGAGAGGGACAGAAGATTAGAAAAAAGACAACCTCAGTCACAAAAGACCTTGGGCACAAATATCCCACCCCAGAAGGTACATAAAGGTGGCCATCCTATCTAATTCTGGCCTAATCCAGATGTACTGGGACATCGCAACTCCCAGATTTCCCAAATTATCTTCCCCAGCAATGTTGGGAACTCTGGTCCAACATGGCTAGAAGCTACAAGATTTGATCTAACAAGAGACTTCTCATGTTTGACTCTGGCTATATTTAAGCTCATTCATGCCTAGTCATACATGATAACTACTGCTTATTTCTTTGACTCTGACTTAGTATATCAAAAGAACCCAACCAGAATCAAGGAATTAATCAAAGTAAGTCAATAAAAGTTTCCTCAACGCTTTCTGCAATGAAGCAGATTGTGTAAGTGCAAGATAAAACAAACTTTTCTACCACATCCCTGACCTTACTGCATTTCCCCATCACACAGACAACACAGCATGGCTAATAATATTTTGCTTCCTCCCAGGGCCTCAAGCTAGATGCTGACCAATCACATTTACCCACCTCTTTGAATTCGCTGTTGACTGATTCCTGGGGTGCGCTTTGGCCAACAACTGTGATTGCCCCGGTGCTGCTGGTGCTTTTGTTGCGTCCATGTCCCTTTCTGAAGGCTGTTTTGGCAGGGCTCTGAAGCTGTGGGTGCAACTCCCGATTTGGCGAGGAAGGAGTTGACGTTATTACTAGCGTCTTCAAGGCTGTCACTTCTGCTTGCAACATGTCAATCTAACAAGAGACAAAAAGCCATCAGCAATGATCAGCAAAGGACTTGGTACCAGGATTATGCCATGTCCAGGAGAACATTTAATGGCTCATTAAGCCAATCAGTTGTGACTGTTCTTTGAAGCAAACAGGAAGTTGAGTTCAGGAGCTACTAGCTTTATAACCTCTAAATTATATGTTTTTTCTTATTTCTTTGCACAAACCCCAAATGTTAAATATATAGACTTTATAAAGATTTTTTCCCTATACATCATAACTACCAAATGCACTAAATAGAAAAGGATGCATACATATTTGCATATATTAGTTACTTACATACCAATGTCGGGTTTTCTTGCTGTATAATTTTTCTTTATACAAATACTGGCAAAACAGGTTTATGTAAAGAAGACCACACTCTTGATCACCCTTCCCCACTTAAAAGTTAAGTAATTACTCATCAATAAATAGGAGTGAATCGGTACAAAACCTCTCTGCACCAGCTGGTTACTTCCCTCAATCCTATCCCAGGAATTTTTTTTTATTTTAGTTCATTTAGTTTATATGTCCATCCCTATTGCATAAACAATTCTGGCTAGTAAATACAATTCAAAGTCATCAATATAATAATATAAAATAAACGTAAGTAGAAACAATAAAGTAGTAGCTGAGGAGAACCAATAGCCTTAATCAACAATATCTTACAAGCTCATCTAACCTCTTGCCTCTAGCCAGGTCTTAAGAGCCTACCTAGCAAGGTTGGGGCCAATCTAATCTCGTGAGGAATAGTATTCCAAAGGCCAAGCACAGGATCTAAAAGATACATTTACTGGGTCTCATTATACTGACCTTGTTTAATAGACTGCACCCAGAGCCTGCCCCCTTCTCTCAGATTTGATGGAGCAGGTAGAGTCAGAGAAAGGTGGTTTCTCAAATATCATGGCCTCAAGCCATGCAGGTGGCAAGCAGACTGCTTTGAATTCCATTTGCAAGCCTATTGGGAACCAGTGCAATGTGCAAAGTAAAGGTGTAACTTGGGTATAACTTAGGTACACCCATAACTGCTTACACCGCTGCACTGTGGACCCATCTTGCAACTTCCAGATGCTCTGCAAGAGCAGCCCCATGCAACAGCCCATTGCAATAGTCCAAATGGGGTGACTGAACTATAAGAAACTGTACGCAGCGCTCCCTGATCCAGGAAAGGATCCAAACGGCACATTTTGCACAGTTGTGCCCTTGGCTCCCACCTGCCCTTCAAGCAAGAGCTGTGAGACTAGGGAAAACTCCAAAGTGCACAGTATTGTCTATTGCTTCTGTCTAGTAGCAGATATTAAGAGTCCAAGGCTAGTCAAGAAATCTGCCACATGGTGACAGTTTTGATAAAACCTGCCTCCAGAGCAATAACTCAAAGCGGAGAATGTAATAATATTCCTTCCTCCTCCTATTTCCCTTACAACAATAACCCTGTGAGGTAAGTTGGGCCAAGAGAGAGTGAATGGCCCAAGGTCACCAGACTTCAGGCCTAAAGTGGGAGTAAAATCCAGTCACCTGGTTTCTAGAGCAGCACATTCACCACTTCCCCAAACTGGTTTCCTGTAGTTTCAGTATATAATGCTAGCGAGGAACTCAGAAGGAATCCAATTTAAATGACAGTAGCGAAATTATCTGAGAAATGCCATATATCTCTGGTCACAATGCTTATTTAAGAACCTAGTCAACTTAATCTTCAAATGAGAGAGTGACCGTTAGTGACCGTTCAAAGTTACAACAGCAAAGTTACCACAGCATAAGTGACTTATGACCATTTTTCACACTTACAACTGTTGCAGCATCCCCATGGTCACGTGATCAAAATTCATATGCTTGTAACTGGCATGAATTTAGGACGGTTGCAGTGTCCCAAGGTCATGTGATCACTTTTTGCGACCTTCCAACAAGCCAAGTCAATGGGGAAGCCAGATTCACTTAACAACCGTGTTACTAACTTAACAGTGGTAGTGATTCCCTTAACAACTGAGGCAAGAAAGGTCGTAAAATGGGGTCAAACTCACAACTGCCTTGCTTAGCAATAGAAATGTTAGGCTCAATTGTGGTCGTAAATCAAGGACTACCTATATTTCTCACATTATGGCTGGGTAAAGCATCTAACACAAAATCTTTTAGGTGATTTGCTTTAGCTCTGCCAACAGATGGCGCTATAATCACTTTAAAAATGGCAGCGTTTTTCCTGTAGTTCACAGCTTACAAATCCTTTTCACAAATCCTTAGCTGTGCCTCCGGAGTTTTTGAATACACAAGAAGTTCGAGTTCAGCAAGTTCTTCTAAAGCTATCCCAAAAAGGGATTGTGGAAGTTGAAGTATCAGTGATGTATCACTAATTTCTGGTGTCCCCTCTCCTGCACAAACTGGTCGAACAAGACTTTTCAAATACCTGAAGGTTTCTCATGCTGGAAGCAAAGACATTTTCTGCTCCTCCAGAGAATGGGATGAAACGTAACTGGCTTCAGTTACTGTGGGTAGTTAGGGGATGAAGATAAAAGTGTTGACATTAAGAGAAATCTCACAATGGATCCAACAGCTAGGCTTTTTCCAGTTCCTTGAGGCGATGTATTATGCTACTTGGTCCTTTTTTTTCCCCCGGGTAGATTGTTTCTGAATGTATACTGGTAGTCCTTGACTTGTGGCTATAATTCAGCCTGCAATTTCAGTCATAAGTTATGATGGTTGTTAAGCAAGTCATCACATGACTACGTTCAATTTTATGACTTTTCGTGGTGGTCATAAAGTGAATGCTATGGTACATAAGCAAACCATTGTTCATTATGGGGTGTTTTTTACCACAAACCAGAAATAAACACATTTCCAACAAAAATGTCATAAATCATGATCAGGTGATCACAGAATGCTGCAAATGGCTGTAAATGCAGCCCAGTTGCCAAGCACCCAAAATGCAGTCATGGGGGGGGGGAGCAGACATTTTGACTTTGTATCTGGATCACAAATAGCTTTTTCGAGGTTCTGTTGTAACTGAACGGTCACTAAGCGGCCTGTAGTAAGCCGAGGACTTCCTGTAGCTGCTAAATCAGCCTCCATTTCAGCAGGCAGAACATGGTTGTCTTATCTTTTCTCTGCTTTCCACATACTCTCTGAACTCTTTCTGGTATCAAGGCATAGGGGTACACCTGTTTATGGTCTTGCTCTGACCTACTTAGGCTGCAACCCTCTGCTCCCTCCCTTGGAAGCAAACCCCAGCCAACTCAGCAGGACTTGTTTCTGAACTGGAACTGCCAGAATAGCATGGAAAACATTTTCTCAAAAGAGGTGAAATAACATGAGTTTTCAGACAGCTAGAGCCAAGTCTCCTGCTTCGGCAAAGCTCAGGTCTTCGACTTTTAGAGGATTTCCCTTTCTGACTGCAGTGCATTCACGTTCAGCCGTTTAGTTTTCAGTTTTCTGAAGTTATTGCAAACTCTACTGCATTCTTTTTATTGCTTCATCATTACAATCCATGAGGATTCATTGAGAGGAAACGTGTCCCATCAGCTGGGGTTTTGTTACAGTTATCAGCATGGGGGCCACAGACTGACAATGCAATTGAAAAAATAACCTCAGAAGCATTTTTGTATGGTTCGATTCCTGCTCCCGTGCAACAGCTTGATTTGGACTACTCTGCCACGTAAAAACGCCTTTCTAACCTGTTGCCTCCAACCAGGAAGGAGAAAGGAACTGCAACAGATATTCTATACCCAAGTGACTCCCGCTACCTTTACATCTGAAAGAAAAGCCTGCTCCAACACTTCTGTATGCATACACACACACATGCTCCACACAGCTGGGAATTAGTGCAAGCAGGTCTGCTATCCAGATCGTGAGGAGAGTCCATATCTAAACGCTTTCCTTTCAGTGTTGGGCTCATGGACTTTGGGATATGCTTAGTAGATATGGTCTAGCGGTCACCATGATTATACGGATAGAGGTAATGTATGAAATGGATTTCTTCACCTTCCCTTTGGCCTCCCTCAGCTGCTTCTCTGACGCTGCTTGCTTGGTGTTTGCCTCCCGGACCATCTTGTGGGCTTCCTACAGCAGATACCACAAAACAAAAGGAGTTACACACTTTTGTCCAAGACAATCAGGTTCTCAAAAATGACAAGACCAACTTCTTGAAGTAGAAGGGTCAACTCTCAAAGAACATCTTTTCCCAAACTGCCACCCATAAGAACCAACACAGACACATGGTGGACGAGCACATTAAAATAAGGAACATTTAATCACATACAGCAGAAGTGCACAGTCTTTTCTTGAGATCAGTGGTGACAGGTGAGTCCTGCAGAAGTCTTGCAGACTTCATGAGGAAAGGGTAATGGGTAATGTGGAAAACAAAACAGGATTTTTTCCCCCCTGCTGGAAACATGTATTGTATGTTCTAAGGCAGGGGTTCCCTACCAGGGATGCTCTCACCTCCTGGGGGTGTGAGACAATATTCCAGGGGGTGCGAAAACTTGGGTTTTCAAAATTATAGTGTATATGCATAATTCATTGCCATTATTTCGAACTTTTGTAAGAGGTGCGAGAATATATCAGAAGCATTTTAGGGGTGCAGGGTATAGAAAAGGTTGGGAGCTGCTGTTCTAAGGTGACACTTCCTCTTCTCAGGGCCTTTTTCTTTTTGGCAATCAAAATACCGCCACTATTTTAAATATGAGATTTTATTTTAAAAAAATACTAGACTGAGACATATCTTTTATTTATCAGATCTAAATGGGGCTGCCATAGAATACTTTGGAATTTAGAGAGGATAGGGCTGATATAAATCCTCTTAGCCGAAAAGTCCTAATTCTTAGTCCACTCCCTTCACCAAATACAAAAAAATTAGGTCCTCACGTGATTTAGGCCACAAAGAGTTTTATGTTTGACTGGCAATTTTAAACTACTTTTATAATATCTGGAGTTCCTCCTGCATGTTTTACTTTTAATTTCATATTTTTTCTTGAGACTGTCTTTGAAAGAGCACAACATAATATTCTTAAAAGCAAACTAAAAATAAATAAAGCATTCAGTATTCAATTTATATTTACTGTAATGTTCACCTGAAGCCATACAGTAGTTTATTAAACACCCACCATGTCTTATCCTAGTGTAGCTTCAGTCAATATGATCTTGCAAATCAATGAGAACAAGCTCCCCTCCACCACACACTTACATACAGGCAATGCTCGCATATTGACTCCCCTATTTAACATCTGTTCAAACTTACGACGGTACTGAAAAAATAAGTTTATGACTGGTCCTTATACTTACAGCTTGCTGTGGTAACCTGATCAGCATTTGCAACCTTCACAGTCTGTGTCTGACAAGCAAACTCAATGAGGAAGCCAGCAGTAAGTTGCAAGGTGCACTCACGTGACACTGCACTTAGCAACCATAGGTGATTTGCCTGATGTCCACAGTGGAGCTGATGTAAATCAGGTGATGTCTCACTTAAAGACTGTGTCACTTAGCTACAGAGTTACCTGTCGCAAATTGTGATTGTTAAGTGAAGACTATCTGAATCAGATGTGGATTGAGGAACTCAACCTCTCTCAAGTTTGTTCAGAGTTAGGGCAAATCCATTTAGAATATATTCCATTTCTCATTTTTCTAGCCCAAGAGAGATTAGGCCTACTTCCGTACCAGTTTGCAATTTTGATTAAAAAATATTGTGTACATCTCGGGGGGGGAAAAAAAAAATCAAGGTTTTACGTAGGAATTTTAAGTCTAAAGTCGTAAAGACAAATGTATTCTTAAGTCTTTCTAGTTTGACCCATTTAAAGGACTTTATATCCTTGACTCATTTAAGGAATGAGTAGGGGTCGATTTCAAGTTACCGTTCTCTTACTTACGTGTCGAGAGATTAGGTTCCAGTACCCACGATAGCCTCATCCCCCCCCCCCCCCCCGAGAAAGGCTCTGCATCCATACAAAATGAGAAATTTCCATTCCTATGAGGAATACAACACATCAGGGTAATGAGACAGAAAATGCACCAGCTCAGATTTTGCTGACTTCAGGGAAAGAGAAATGGTTGCTCTGCTAACTGAGGAGAGAGAGTGCTCTTATGCAAACACCCAGTTCCTGTTGGTGCTGGCCTACATAATCAAAGCAACAACACGGTGTGGCTTTTGCTGGATCTAACATCTTCCAGTGGAATACAAATTTCACTGCTCTACACAGTAAAGTTTTCCTGAACATATAAAGTACAACTCCAGGAAATCTCATGTGTCAATATGTTTGTGGTAAATTATTAAAATGTGCATAATCTGAAATAATAACAGTCCCCAAAAAAACCCCAGCATGGAATTCTGTTCTTTCAATAAGTATGGCTTTTTCAAAGGTTATCAGAACATAACTTTGTGGGTGAGAAGAGATGCATGGATTCTAGTGCCCAAAGAGTTGTCTTCAAAGAGGTACACTGATTACTTAAGCTCAGCTTTGGACTTGGTTTCTAAAGGTTCCACACTACCATCTTCAGGATTTGGATGCCAAGTTCAAGTTAAGAAAGTGCTAGTACCTCAAATAAGCTTGCTGTCAGCTCTTCCAGTTCCTGTTCCAGCTGCTCCCTGACTTTGGAAAGTCTCTCACATTCTTCATCTTTCAACTTTAATTCCTGCAAAGGGAAAACACAAGAAATTATGACTCTCCATAATCATTCTAGTTTAGAGAAAGAGAGAGAGAGCGAGAGATACAAACACACACATACACACAGAGAGATCTACCATACACTGAAGCTTGTTGACAGCTGTCCACCCCTGAAAGTATTTTTACGAACCTTAACCAAAAATTTTAATGGGCCAGCTTTGCCAAAAATCATATTAACTGAAGAAGGCAATGGCAAAAGCTGGACTTGGACAGGTGGCTTAGAAAGTATGGAATTCCGGATCCACTTTCCTACCACTTCAAGTTCAGGTTGTCAAATATATGAGCATAAAGAAAATAAACCCACTAAATAGCGTACCCTAATTTGGGCTTCCCTATGGGCAGCCAAAGACAACATGAGACTCTCTGCTGACTACACAAAGTCCTCAGCTGTGATCTAGAGCCAGACCATATGAGTAGGAAAGAGGTGAAAGAAAACCAGCTGTCAGTCAGAATCTGGAATCTAGTGAAGCAACAGACTGGAACTCTTGTTTGCAGAGACAGCACAATGTGGGAACTGCATCATCCCAAATTCCAGTTCTGATCCAGTTTGTTATGGAAAACCCTGACTGGTCTTGTAGCCAGTCAGTTCTGCAGTCTACACTATATAGAAGCAGTAGAATACAGTGATCCCTGTTTCAAAAGGAACTTATCATTTATGAATAGGAAGCAGTAAGGGTTCTATAAAAGTGTAAGATTCGCGAAACCAAGTTAAGAAATAGACATTTGTCCAAGTTCTGTTTAGAAAATCACCAAAATCAGAATATGAAAGGGCTTAAATAATATATGTATGAACTTACATAGTATGGAAGGAATTATATGTTATGCAGTAAAAACCTAGCAGAAACAAAGATGGAATAACATAAACTATCTGGTTTTCTTTTTTAATTTCCCAATAGTATTCTAGCGTTTTACCTGCTCATCAACTGTCTACTTCATGAATTGATATGAAGTAGCTTTGGACAGAATGGAATCAATGTAGCTCACAAAAGACGAAGCAGAGTGGCAGGACAAAATGTCAATTTCCTAATGCAGATGGACAACAATTCAATATTACTTGGTGAGCAATTCAGATGACGCTTTTGGACCCACTGAGATGCAACATCTGAGCCTAGGCCTTATGCTTGCCAACAGGTGGGTTTGGGGCTAGTAGTCAAATTCTCCATCTCTTCTCAACCTCATACTTACCTTCTGAGCTCTATGGAGCTCCTCCTTCAGGAACTCAGAGCCCTTCTCACGGATTTCTACCGAGGAGCTGCGCAAGCGGGAGACGTTCAGTTGTGCCACCGACTGGTTCTCATCCCCACCAGCCAGGCTCTTGACAGAAGGCTCTGGAGGCTGTAACTCTTGTCCTCTGTTAGTTGTTGCAAGAGGCTTCCACTGACCCACCACTAGTTGCTTTTGGAGCTGTGGCCTGGCTTTCTCAATATGGGCCTGGCTGTAAGAAAGTATGTTCAGGATTACAGACACCCTGGCTCCATATGGCCCTAATTTCCCCTCATGTATATTTTTTTTCAAAAATGTCCCATATGAGTTCCATTACATAATTTCACAGAGAGAGAGGAAGGAGGAAGGGAGAGAAAAGAGTGAAGATGAAGAGATACAACAAATCAAGAATCAAGCAGGTTTTCTTCCTTTTTTAAAATAAGCCTTAAAATTGGCTTCTTTTCTGCCAATGAGTTTTACAAATGGAATTAGCTATTACATGACAAGAAGGCTGGGTTAGAAATATTTCTCCAGGAAGCAATCTCTTCAGTGTTTTTTCCTTGGCTGAGAACATAAATGAGGCTAATGCGAATTAGCTATGGTGCACTCATGCTCATCAAAAGAATATAAACTTGGTACAGCAGCACAGAGTAAGTATTTTGTCAAAACACAAAAGAAGGCAGCTTTTAGTGATGTCAACACACGACATGTATTGTTATTTTAGCATCACCCAGTGCAGAAGAAGGGCTATAACCCACTTCGCTCCATATACAAGATGCTTTTCAAGCAAGCAGGACCTGGCACCTCCAAATTACAAACCAGTTCAATGATGGGAAATGAAAACTACATTCAGAACTAAAGATGGCATCTCTTTGGAATCAGCAGACCTTCAAACCTAATGCTATTCTGTCATGGTGAATTTCTCCCCGTTCTTCCCCTTCCAGATCCAGATCCAAGGCATCTGGACAGCACTCTGACAGAACTTGGAGGAAAATGAGGGCAAACATCAAATTCTTCACGCAGAAGGATACAACAATCAATGGTATCAAAAGCTGTTGAGAGATGAAGCAGACTGCCCTATCTCTAACCAGGTCCCTCCAAGTGCAACCCAGCGCTGGCTCTATACCGTATACTGCAACAGTTCCAAATAATCAGTTTCATTCAAGGCTTTTTTGCATTTTCTCCACAATTATCTCTTTCCTCAGAAAGAGTTGGAGACAGGTCAGTAGTTTATTTACTATATCTGAATCGTGCCTTAAGAAAGAGCACATTAAGAAAGAGTACATCACTGTCTCCTTCAAAGAGGAAGGCAGCCCCTCCTCTCTCAAGGATTCATTCACCATCAATGAAACACAGCTCTTCCTCACCAGGAAGAAAAGAGGTCCAGATTACTGGGGACCGGGTTGATGTGGAAGTTGCTGCAGTTGCCACTAGAAGGAAGATACATTGCACTAATATATAGCTCAAAGAAACCTTTTTCTTGCATAGTGATGCATTTTTATCTATTCCCATATTTGTGACAATAACTTTTCAAATAATACACAAACTTGTTCATGCAGAAATATATATAGAGAGAGAATCTTTGACTTCTACAATATAGCTGAACTTCAATTTCTGTCATCCTCTCAAACTGCCTGGGGCTGCTTGGAGATTTTCTACTCCTGCTACAGAGTGGAAAATGGAAACAGTGAAAACACTTTTTTTCCCTCCAATTATTGTATGTGCTATATTATCTATAAAAAACTCACTTTCATAATTTACACACAGCCAAAAATGGATTATAGCTCAATGGAAGAATAATATTTTGCACAAAGAAGATCATTTCAAATTGGCTATATTCCAATGAAACAAAGCCTTCACTCTCTCGCTTTTCACAACAGGGCCACTGTTGCTTAGAGCTTACATGAACATTACAGCAAACATTCACACACACACACACACCATATGCAGTATGTATGTGTGTGCATATGTGTGTACACACAAATAACTGTATTTGCAATGCCAACGAAGACTGAATTTCAAAGCACTCTGAAAACTCAGCATCAAGAATAACATTAATAGAATGTACTCAAAGCTCAGCAAATCAAACCAATCAACCCAGAATTCTTTTTATTTTCAATGTACTCTTCAGCTGACCATTAAAAAGATACAAGAGTAAAATCACAACAAAACTATCAACCAATCAGAGATCTTTTCAGACTTTTGACTGACTTGGTAAGATTACTGAGCTTAGCTTTGCGGGCATTCCATGCATACTCTTGGCTCCTATTGAAGTTGAACATCAGAGGGCATTTGACATATAAAAAAAACTTTTATCTTATTTGAAAAGACATTCTGAAGCTCAACATCAACAGGATACAAGAGCATGCACACAGATACAAACACACACGTACAAACCACAATGTAGAAATCAATCAAATCATTCCAACATAGGTAACAATAGTAGTCTTGATATATACAACTCACACAACTTCAAAAGTTTCAGCCATGCTTATGAAGGAGACCAAGTGATGCACTCACATGCACCAACCTAGGTCATACAGTAGCAACATTCCTGCCCTTGCTCTCCAGCAGCGGAGCAGACTCCACAATGGCTCTCCGGTTCTGAACCGTGTG